CAGCGTCGGGGCAGGGCGCTCCTGCGCCCAGGGGAGCCGCCCGGGACAGGGGCAGGTTGGGGGGTGTCCCAGGTGGCTGGAGATGCGGTGCAAGGGGCTTTGCGCGGGCCGGTTGGGCGGCGAGGGCTTGGTGACCCCGCAGCTGAGGAAGGGCTGGGGATTTGGGGGTGGCGAAGAGGGGCGCTGGCAGTGCCAGGGGTATTGGCGGCCGCTCCGCACATCTGGCAAACTGCTGCAAGGGGCAGAGGCGCTGGTGGGCATGGGTGCTTCTCCTTCCATGCCTTGCTAAGTCTTGCTGAGGAGCGGATCTACGTTCTGTTACAGGTTGTATACGTGGTGCCCGCTGCCCTGACACTGCTCGTCAGCATTAACCCTTCAATAACAGGTATGCCACTGGTATGCAAAACAGCGTCTCTGCTCAGATTCTGCCCCCAAAAGGGCAGATGCTGGGGGACCTAATGCCTCATCACATATTGCGAGAAGCGGTCAGATCAGATTTGGTCCAGGACAATGGAAAATAGTTTATGGTTTGTATTTTCGTCCAGTAGAAATAATTTTTAAATAACAACCTTTTATATATAGCAAGCAACTGTATATTTTCTGGATTAATACTTGCTCTAAATAAATTAAAACCACACTTATGCCAAAAGAGAAAGTCCTCAGCAGTACGTGCTGTTGTCACAAATCTCACCGTTGCAGGCTCTCGGCGTTCTGGCTACCTGAAGCATGTAAAGTGGCAGCATTCATAAAGCCCAAACCCATGAAGGTTGGTTGCCTGTGGCTCTGAACATTTCAGGGAAGTTTATTTGTGTGATAGGTGTAGCTTCAACATGATGGCATTTGGCTGGTCCAGAGAATCTGCACGTTAAACTCACAAGTAGGTTTTTGTTATTTGTGCCAAGCTCTGTGGAAAATAAAGATTAAAATAGCACAACTATTGTGTAACTGGACATTGTGTGAATTCACCAAGGGATAATTGCCATTCAATCTCTGGAAGACCCAGATTCTGCATCTGCTGAGCTGCAGTAAGTTCAGCCAAATGGGGAATCAATTACAACGTTGGGTTATGCTGAGCTCTTGGATTTTGGCAGCTCATCACCTTTAATGCTTGCATGGAGGGGTCAGTGCCCAGAAAAGACTGCTGAGATCAGCGAGAGCTGCCCATGTCGTTTGCTCACCTCTCCCCCATAAGCCTCTGGGACTGGACATGGAAAACCACAAGAATGTGCGGGCCCATTCAGATATTTCACATCATCTGTACTTCTCTGGTTAAAAACATCAGTCCCCAGGCAGAGACGTCATCGCAGGCAGAAGCTCAGGCAGAGGCTCACCAGGGAGCGTGAGAGAAGACGCTCCTGTAGTGTGATGGTCACCTGGTGCCCCTGATGGCTGGCTGGGAGCTGGGGCTCGCTCCCCTGGGCTCTGGAGGTCCTCTGGGGTCATGCTCAGTGCCTGGTTATGGCTGCGAGCTCCAGAAAGGCTGTTCCTCCTGCTTAAGAGAACTCCCATTTGTAATCAGCCCTGTGATTTTTTTTTTTTTCCATGCATGTTGAACGTTGGAGCCTGTTTTGTTTGCTGGGGAGAATAGGAAACCGTTTTCATTGAGGTGCTGCTGCCAAGAAGTTGCATTCCTAGGAGAGCAAGCCCCAAGGCTGACAGTGTTTATTTTCAACACTACTTTTTAGCAGATTTCCCTGGTCATAAAATGCTGGTATTGATTCCATCTTCCTGCCCAAGATGTGTGTGTTTGGTGGAGGCATCTTGTTTAGTGACTCAGTTGCTTTTTGATTTATAGGGTTTACTTCATGCTACACTGCAGTTGCTGGCAGTCTGTTTTTTTCCTCAGATAACGGTGTTTGGAGGAGCCTCTGTGACCTTCATTCTGCTGGTTGTATTGTTGGGGCCATTGCCTTGGCTTGCTCTTTGTTTGCTTACGCTCAAGGAAACATTTTGCATGAAGAGGAAGGCAGGTAAGCAGCGATTTTTATTTTCCCCTGCATGAATTCAGCACACCAGGCCATCTCCTGGGGGTCACCTTGCTGACCTTTATTTGCTGGGCTGCCGCCATGAATGCTGTTGGCCCAGCAGAATCAAACCAAGGAGGAAGGACTGCAGTGCTCCAAACAGGCCATTTGTTGGACAAAAGACCTAAAGTTGTGATTGCTTGCCTGATCGTGGCAGTTAGAACTGCCCCCAGTTAAGTCTGGCTTTATCAGGGCACTAGTACAGTGAAACAGCTTTGTGCTCTCTTGCTGGAGCTGTAGGAATGATCATTAATGTTTTAAAAGCTCTTGAGGTGATGCCATGTGCTTTTTTATCTGGCACAGGCTGCTGAGTCCTGAAATGCCCAGGATTGAGGGGGAGGGAGGATTTCTTACCTGGACATTCAGTTGTTGCCTACAGGAGGTGCTTGTACTGGGGTGAAGCTCCAGCAGCTGCTGCAGTTGTTTGCCATCTGGAATACTGGGCTGCTGCTTTGCTCTCTGTCAATGAGGGAAATGTGCTGTGGAATACGAGTTTAGCAGTGGAACAAGAAGTGGAAGCAGGAATTTCTGCAGCTCTGTAGCTGGGTCGTGTGTTCGTAGATTTGTGGTGGGAAGCAAAGTTACGCCACATAAATACCTTCATAGTTCTAATCCTAGTAAATATTGAACTTCTCCAAAGGAGCAGACACTACTGTTGCAGAGGCAAAATTTGTTTTTTAAAAGTAAACACTTGCTTGTATTATTTTCTGATCTGTTTTTTGTTTGGCTTTTTAGAGAGTTGTTTGGTCTGGTGATTATTACAGTATGGATGAGTCTTTGTCGCAGTTCAGCAAAGTAAGTTTTGTTTCCTTTTTTTTTAAATCCATCCATGTGTTCCAAGTTTAGTGACTAGCTTCTTGGAAACACTTGATTTTGGCTGCTGGTTTTCTGCTTCACATCACGGTCTGAACCTTCTCAGATACCTAAGTAGCTGGTGCTACAGCCTGTAGGATCTTGCACAGATAAAACTCTGTGGGGGGAAAGTAAAGCTGCACAGAACATTTTTTCTGCTCCCTTGCCGCGGGCAGGCAACATTCTCCCATTGTATGAGGACAGTGCGCCCCTTCTGTGGAACAGGCCAATGAGTATTGGCCATGATGGCTAACGAACTGCAAAGCCGTTTCTGCCATTGCTCCCGATTCACAGAACTTTCCAGTGAGGGTCTCTGTACTGGCATCTGCTGCATCCACTGGAGCAGGCAAGTGATGCAGGCAGAACTGGCAGAAGGCTCTGGGCGGCTGCCTGGCTACACTGGCTCCACACTTCTCCCCCTCAGCCTCTTCTGAGGACTGTGCTGTAGCAGCTTTGCTAAATTCCTGTTAGCTGGGAGCATGAAAAATCCCCATCTGCCAAAGAGTACCTTTGTGCTGGGAAAATGTCACAGGCGCTCTGGGCAAGCAGGGTGCATTTTTTTTTTCACTTGGTGTATGTAGCCTGAAGTGGCAGAAAAACTTTCTGCTGCATGTGGTGCCTCTCCAGTAAAGGACTCTGCTGGTGCATCCGCAGGAGCTGCATTAAAGCAGCCAAAGGCTCGCTGCTCTTTCCACCTGCAGCTGGGTGTGAATATTTCATAGCAGTCTGATTTGAAGTAGCTCTGTTGCATTTGCTTTTTTATAGAAGTCCACTGGGTGGAGTTCGCTTGATCGCTGCAATCCTGGTTGCCCTCTTCCCCTTTGTTGCATGGCTGTACATTTATGTGAACAAAGAGATGCGAGCATCTTGGCCAACACACTGTAAAACAGTGATTTAACTGGTAGGAGAAAGGACAGAATAAAAATTCTGACCATACTTGCCTTTGCTTTTGGTTCTTAATGAAAGGTTGGTATCAGTGTAATAGTACCCAAGAATGCCTGGCTGCTTCCCTCAGCGCGGTCTGAGATTTGTTAAAAACATTGAGGAACACTGTCAAATCCGAGTGAGGAATTTTTCTATGGAAACTGTTGTTCATCTGGCTTCTTTGTACATTTTCAAAGCACTTGTTGATCTAATGTGTGTTCTCATGGTACCCTGAAGATACCCTGGCACGCCTGGATTACTCTCCAGCCACCTCATGCTTCGGGAAATCTACTGTTCTGTAATGTATGGGAAAAGTAAAGCAAAAACTTTGTGTCAATAAATGACTATTTACAGCCATAAAACTTCCAGATACCTGCCTGGATAGCCCCTTGAGATTAACTGAAAAATTGAGCAATCTGTATTTCTCTTCCTACATTAAAATCATATGGAGAATATATATGAAGAAATATTTTTCCTATTATCTTTAACTGAAAATTGCGCTTTTACAGAGTAATAAATGCTGTTTTTCTAAAGAAAACGCAATGAAAGCTTCTGTATCTTCTATTTCCTGTGAGCTGCATACTCAAGACTGCCACCCGCAGACGTGGTCACTGTCACAACTCCACTTCTCACAGAATTTCTGTCCCTGGGCAGCAGAACCCACACAGCAGCCCAGTGACAGTAAGCATGTTCCACTGCTACTCGCCCTGGAGAAGGAAGCACAGGTGAATACAGGGGGCACATGGGCTGGCTGGGAGAGGGCCAGAATGGGTGGAGGTGCAGCACAGCAACATGCTTTAGGTCCTTCCACAGCAGGGCTTTTTCGCCAGCAGGTGTATCTGCAGCATTACATGATGTAGCATAGATGGTCTCCATTTTCCTCAGGCTTAGCTTTTTTTGAAGATTACTTTAGGCTTTTAAAGCAACGTTAAAAAGACTGCATTAGGCTACACAAGGTGGATTAATTCTGCCAGACACGAGACATTACTGACTATGATGTTAAAAAAGAAAAAATAAAAAAATTGAAATGCGTCTGGGCAGGTACAATTCTTCATGCTTTAATTCTGACTGATATAAAGATGTGCTTCTTTTTGGACAATATTCATAATATGGTTTGCATTTTTTCACAGTAAGTAACAATCCGCTCAGGACAGGGCATTTCAAGTCAACATTCTGCATTCAAATATATTTATTTCAAACGTGGTTACTGGCCTTCTCTATTCTCCACAAAGAAACTAGGTCTGTTTTCTTACAGAAACATAATTTCTAAAATTCTGCATCCAGGAGAAAAATGTTCAAGTTCAAGCTCTAAGGATCATCCATGCACATGTTTGTACAAGCAAAATAGTAAGCTGAATCCCCTGCTTTTTTGTCCACGTACTTCCTGAAGAAGAGCAATTTGTATTTGCTTACCATTTTCAGAAATGCATAACTCTGTCTGAAATTCTGCCCCTTCCCTTTAGTATCATTTTATCTTCATAGACATAAATAGTTCCAAAAGCATTGCTTTCCGGTGGAGTTTCAATAACCCCCTCCAAAGTCAGATGATGAACTCCATGAGAGTCTAAACAATAGCCACCGTCGTGCAGGTGCCCTGCAAGAAAGCAGACCACGCACTGATGGGAGTGTATGACTGAAAGGGCGTCTTCATAATTCCAGGCTAGGCAAACTCTGTCTGAAGCATCTGGATGAATGGGCAGATGACCTGCAGTTGAGAAGGAAAGAAGCCGAAGAGTTACTTTGAGCATAACCAAACTTTGCCTTCCTTGCTGGGAAGTTCAAACATATAACTGTATACAGAAAGCTCGCAGGAATGTGAGACATGGTTGCTGTTCTCCTACTTCACAGGTTACATGCATACCTCGGTAGAGCTGCAAAGCTGCTACACGTTTTCTTCAGCAAACATACATTGGCTACATAAATTTTTTTGCATATATCCTGGTATATCCCCCATGTATACCTACCCATAACTATAACTTTTTCTTGGTTTTCATCAGAGGACTTGAGGACTTCATTGAACCAGTCCAGCTGGGCTTGGCTAAATCCTCCATTAAACTCTACAAACCAAGGTTCTTTGAGTCCTGCAGTGAAGAAGAAGGTTAAGCATAAGTGCATACACCTCTTGTGGCTCCCCTATTTGCTTGCCTTATATAAGCCTGCTTACAATAGATTATTTATAATCTTTGGGGTTTTGCATCTCTTGGATCAAAACTCCAGCCTCCTTGGACAAACAAGAGAAAATTATTTGTTAGTGTTTTCAGGGGTTTTGGTCACGCTTCATGCACAAGATTTCCACTCTTGGGTCTCCCCCCGGCATGGGATAGGGTGGGCACCACTCTATGCTCTGCAACAGCTGCTGCACCAACGGCTGCCTTTTGTTCTGATACTGCAGGGCACACAGCACAACATAAACCCATCCCAGAAGCACCAGAGCAGTATGACGGGTATGGTGGAGCATCTCCTGTAACCGCCCAGAGACCCACTGATTGGCTCTCAGCCAACAGGAGGGAGGTGGAGGAGGTGGACAGAAATGGGGCACATGCCTCAGCACCCTGGCAACCAGATGTTGGCCCTGGGAGCTGCCTGATCGCTCTGGCAAGCAGAGGTTCAGCTTCCCATGCTTCCCGCCGAAGGGTCAAGCCGGGGGGTACCTGCGGGGCTGTTGAGGTTGTCGTTGGGGTTCTTCTTCCGCAGCAGCTGTAAGGACTCTTGGTAGCAGGGGCTGTCCGGCTCCCTGCCCAGGATGCTCAGGTCATAGGTGTCAAGCACGACGACACGGAACCGTGTGGCTGGGCTGAAGTGATAGGCCTGGCAATCCCCAGCCGGCAGGGCAGCCATGGCCCCAGTG